AACCCTCGCGAGACAACGGGAATGTTCAGTTGGAAAATCGTCAGACCTCACCTGTACGGTAGTTTTTTTTACCTAGTGTACGTGTCAGATTAATCTTATATGTGTATCTAATTCATTCTGTGTTTGTATCAAGTTCATCTCATGTACATATCTGAGTCAAACTATGTACGTATCTAATTAATCTTGTGTATCTAATTAAACTCTGTACGTATTTACCTCAGCCTATGTACGTATATAATTCACTCTATGTACCACTCAAAATATATTAACTAATTCCAGAAATAAACAAATGGACTTAATCAGTTCACTAAATTAACTAAAACTGGAATTTAATTAAAACTTAAAACTAATTAAACCCACAAAACGAACAAACTACAAAACTGATCAATTATATAAATTAACTAATATAAAAAATCTAAAACAAAAAAATAAAACCTTCAAAGCGTAAAGTTAATTAATTCCGGGGATGAAATAAATTAACTAAACTTCCAAGAAACTGTCCCAGAAAATTTGGTATGACCCCCCCCCCCTCCCCCTCTCCTCCCAGAACCTGAGATACATCTTCTGAGAATTCCCCAAAGTTGTAGGAATTTTTTGAGTTTGACAATGAGACAGGTACCTGGTGGTGAGACAGGTACCTGGTGGTGAGACAGGTACCTGGTAGTGAGACAGGTACCTGGTAGTGAGACAGGTACCTGGTAGTGAGACAGGTACCTGGTAGTGAGACAGGTACCTGGTAGTGAGACAGGTACCTGGTAGTGAGACAGGTACCTGGTAGTGAGGCAGGTACTTGGTAGTGAGACAGGTACTTGGTAGTGAGACAGGTACCTGGTAGTGAGACAGGTACCTGGTAGTGAGACAGGTACTTCGTAGTGAGGCAGGTACCTGTAGTGAGACAGGTACCTGGTAGTGAGACAGGTACCTGGTAGTGAGACAGGTACCTGGTAGTGAGACAGGTACCTGGTAGTGAGACAGGTACTTGGTAGTGAGACAGGTACCTGTAGTGAGACAGGTACTTGGTAGTGAGACAGGTACCTGGTAGTGAGACAGGTACCTGGTAGTGAGACAGGTACCTGGTAGTGAGACAGGTACCTGGTAGTGAGACAGGTACCTGTAGTGAGACAGGTACCTGGTAGTGAGACAGGTACCTGGTAGTGAGACAGGTACCTGGTAGTGAGACAGGTACCTGGTAGTGAGACAGGTACCTGGTAGTGAGACAGGTACCTGGTAGTGAGACTCTGGTGCCTGGTGGTGAGACAGGTGCCTGGTGGTGGTTTTGGTGCCTGGTAGTGGGAACAGGTGCCTTGGTGGTGAGACAGGTGCCTGGTGGTGAGACAGATTTGCGCCTGGTGGTGGTTTCAGGTGCCTGGTAGTGGAACAGATTACCTGGTGGTGGGGCAGTGAGACAGGTACCTGGTAGTGAGACAGGTACCTGGTAGTGAGACAGGTACCTGGTAGTGTGACAGGTACCTGGTGGTGAGACAGGTACCTGGTAGTGAGACAGGTACCTGGTAGTGAGACATGTACCTGGTAGTGAGACAGGTACCTGGTAGTGAGACAGGTACCTGGTAGTGAGACAGGTACCTGGTAGTGAGACAGGTACCTGGTAGTGAGACAGGTACCTGGTAGTGTGACAGGTACCTGGTGGTGAGACAGGTACCTGGTAGTGAGACAGGTACTCAGTAGTGAGACAGGTACCTGGTAGTGAGACAGGTACCTGGTAGTGAGACAGCTAATTAAATGTTCCTACACCTGCCATAATGAACAAAGTTTGAGTGGACTGTTTCATGGGAAGGGTGTTATTTTTTGTTAGTAAAAATTCGACTTGGTAACACTGCACGACGACGACGACGATGATGATGATGATGATGATGATAATAATAATGATAATAATAACAACAGTAACCGCAACAACAAAACTAAGCGATCTCTCAAGGAACTCGCGGAAAAGTTGGCAGTAATAGTGCTGGATGACAACTTGTACAGGTAAGGCCAGGTAAAGCTAACAGACTACAGGTAATGATGTAATATTGTACAGTGAATTAAAACAGTTTCTTGGCTTACTGTATTTCCGATAAGTTACAGTTTAATTCCATAAGTTAGTTCATTTAGTTGAACTTTAAATTGAACCGTAGAATTAAAATAAAGAACCATAGTTTTAAAATAATTAACCGTAGTTTTAAAATAAGGAACCGTAGTTTTAAAATAAGGAACCGTAGTTTTCAAATGAGGAACCGTAGTTTTAAAATAAGGAACCGTAGTTTTCAAATAAGGAACCGTAGTTTTCAAATAAGGAACCGTAGTTTTCAAATAAGGAACCGTAGTTTTCAAATAAGGAACCGTAGTTTTCAAATAAGGAACCCTAGTTTTAAAATAAGGAACCGTAGTTTTCAAATAAGGAACCGTAGTTTTAAAATAAGGAACCGTAGTTTTAAAATAAAGAACCGTAGTTTTAAAATAAGGAACCATAGTTTCAAATAAGGGAACCGTAGTTTTAAAA